CCTATAATACCAGAATTCTGGGAGGCTGAGGCAGGAGGATCACTTGAGCTCAGGAGTTTGAGACCAGCCTGGCCAACGTGGTGAAACCCCATTTCTACTGAAAATACAAAATCGGCCAGGTGTGGTGGTGCATGCCAGTAATACCACTAATGGACAGTAAAGACATTTTTGACACCAAATAATATAAAACCACAAAAGGTAGTTTTAACAGGACTAACAGGAGTGGACACAACACAAATGTTTGGAAGCTGGCAGAAGAACAGATGAGAAGTAACTGACTTAGTACATCTGAGACAAACATCAACGGAGAAGGGGTAAAAGTGGATAAACACTCTAGTTACAGCACAGAATCTTCTAAGTTTCAGGAATTGGCAACACCATGTACCTCTGGAAAGGGGAATAAAAGGTAGGGACTGAAAGTAAGGCAGACTGCATGAATGATGTCTAAGAGGCAGTTAAATCCCCAGATCTCCTCCCCAACTCCATGCTCCTGGGTGGCTGCCTTTCTCCTACCATGGCAGAAGTCTAACAGTTTTTCTCTAGACAGCTGAAATGTTACTTGGCCTGGGAGATGATAGGCACAGTTGAGTCCTGCATCATATGGAAAACAGGGTGCCTGGGTGCCTATACTAGTAATGAATGCTTCTGGAAATAAACCTCACATTTATGGTCAGTTGATTTGACAAAGATGCCAGGCAATTCAGTGGGAGAAAGAATAGTCTTTTCACCAAGTGGTGCTGAAATAGCTGGATATTTAATGAATCTGAATCCTTTACCTCACACTATATATAAAAATTAACTCAAAATTGATCATAGAACTAAATGTAATAGCTAAAACTATAAAGCTCCTAGAAGAAAACATAGGAGGTAGGATCAATTGGCATTGGCCACTTACTGGATATAAATAAAGCAAAAACTGACTCAGACTTTAAACCTGCTTGGCTGAGAAGACAGGAAAAAGTGCTTCCAGGATACCTACGTGGAATGTGCCTTTCCTCTTTGCCGATTTGGCTCTGATTCTTTCATTGTAGCACATCACAGCCATAAGGAGAACCCTATACTCAGTCCTGTGTCGTCCTAGCAAATGGAACCTGGAAAAATCTTGGAGGCTTCAACACAGGCATACACAATGAGAACAAATCAATTTGTCTTTATAGCATAATGACAAACCAGCACATGAATTAACCTGAGTTGCTGGCCTGCAATTTTCAGAGAGCAGAACTTCCCTGGCTTCTTAGTTCAGCAGCTGCTGATGGGCATGAATCACACCAATTCAGCATCCTGCCCTTCTCTTCCAACCCACACCCCCTCCTCCTTTCCTCACAGCTCTCCTTAATCTGTCCTTAGATGTCTCAGCCCACAAGTTAGAAGGCTTAGCATGCCATTGTTCTATAACCAAGGTACACACAGAAACATTTTGGGGTAAGATGTTTCTCATATCTTAAAATGCATGTAAAAGTGATCGGTAGACAAAAAAAGTGCTTTACGAGGTAACCTATTATTAAGCTTAAAAGGTAGATGTGTAAGCCATAAAACACAGTAACAGCTTTGATGTGATGCTTCCAATACAAAGTTATTCCTCTAGAGGAGCTCTCATACCTTCCTCGAATTACAAGCCATAAAGGATACAAACACATTTTTAACTTGGTTTCACGTTTCAATTTTGTTGATCTTGAAATATACACATTATCTCCAAGTTAACAAGAAACAGCTTCATCAAGGGAGGGATTTCATGACATCAAAACTGGTCTACCCAATTTATCAAACCTTTGGAATGCTTTTCTTTTGAGTCCTTCCATATATTATATTATATATAATATATCTCACTTCAACACATGGCCTACTCAATGTATCTCTTTAATCTTCCCTGAAGTTCAAGTAATGGTTAATCTTTTTTGCAGGGAGACAGAGTCTCACCCTGTTGCCCAGGCTAGAATGCAGTGGCACAATCTTGGCTCACTGCAAGCTCCACCTCCTGGGTTCAAATGATTCTCCTGCCTCAGCCTCCCAAGTAGCTGAGATTACAGGTGCCTGCCAACATGCTAATTTTTGTATCCTTAGTAGAGAGAGGGTTTTACCACATTGGTCAGGTTGGTCTATAACTCCTGACCTCAGGTGACCTGCCTGCCCTGGCCTCCCAAAGTGCTGGGATTATAGGCATGAGCCACTGCCCCCATCCCATGGCAAATCTTAGAACTCAAAAAGATCTTCAACATTCTGTCGGCCAAATAAGCTATAAATGCTTGCTAAAGTCTATGCTGGTAACCTGGATGTGCCCAAGCTTGGCATGGATACATAGTCACCTGGGGAGTTTTCTAGGCCCCACTCCAAATTTAATGAATGAAAATTTCTACCAGTGGAGTGTGTGCCTCTATTTATTTCTTAAGACATCCGGAAGCAGATCTGCCTGGAAGAACTCTGTAGAGGCTCTTGATTTGCAGTGGACAAATAATCACTCCAATGACAGAAGGCAGGAATGTCAAGAGGATTCGTGAAACGATTTTTATAAATTAGAGTATAAGGAAGGAGAATCTATAATCTTGACAACAGAAGTATTTCTCCCTGAGTGGCAGAATTATTATGATATTGAAACCAAAGAGAAGAAAATATAACCTAAGTATGCTACATGGCTCCGCAGTGGATAATACCTGCAAAATCTAAAATAATACAACTACTAAATGTTTTTCAACTTTACAACCAATATACAAACAACGCACAGAAGGCTTATAGTTAGATAACAATATACAAATATCGTCACCCTTTACAACATAAAAGTCTGGTACAGCTGCAAGAGCTGAAAGGAAGGTAGGAAGGGAAGATGGCAGGGGGCCTAATATTCTCATTTTACAAAGATCGAGGTCCAGTGATCTGTTTAAAGTTGATAGTACAAATAAACAGAGATTTAAATATATCATGTAGAGCCACACATATAGTCAATAAAAGAACTAGCAAGTCAATAATAAGTTGGGAAGTCGAGAGGTGAAGTAACTTGCTCAAATTCAGCTCATTAGAAAGTTCTGAGGCCAATGGGCTGAGCAGGGGTCAATCACACTCTTAGACTCCATGCACTTGATCAGTGTTTCGGCGTGCCCAGCCCTGTGTGAGGAAGTAACTTGCCTAAGCTTAGATGCCGAGTTAGTGTTACAGCCAGAAAAAGAAACTCAATCTCTAGTCTTAAAATTATTTGTTAAAGATATCTTTAAAATTTTCAGAAAAAAAAAAAAATTAAAAATGTCCCTATTGGCTCATTCTTTGAACACATACCGATTTCTTTTTTCTTTTTTTTTTTGAGATGGAGTTTCACTCTCTTGCCCAGGCTGGAGTGTAGTGGTGCAGTCTCGTCTCACTGCAACCTTCAACCTCCCGAATAGCTGAGACTACAGGCACATGCATCACACCTGGTTAATTTTTGTATTTTCAGTAGAGATAGGGTTTCACCATATTGGTCAGGCTGTTCTCAAGCTCCTGACCTCAGGTGATGCACCCAACTCAGACTCCCAAAGCTGTGAGCCACCTGGCCCAGCCAACACTAACATTTCTTACAAAGAGCTCCTCCACAGCTCCCATCACCTATGATCAGCATTCTAACTATTCTCTAAGTCTATCCCACAATGATGGAAGAAGATACTGCAGCCCACCATCCATTGTGTCTGCCAAAACCTGAGAGAGGATCCAGAACCAACACCGAAGATGCAAAGCAAGTCAGTCTGCTCCACTCTTAGTCTACAGTCTAAGCCCATGGTCTATCTGCCACCACAGAGATGCCGTGGTTATGTGCAGAGAGGCACCCACTGTCTGCTCCAGGAGAGGACATGGCAACAGCACATGAAGGGCAGGTGGAGGGCTGCTCCAAAGGAGACGTGATCTGGTTCATGGACCTTCATGTGAATAGGTAACACCACTCAGTGACTGCTGCTTTATACTTCATATAATATTTTGAAATATTCAATAGAAATGACAATATCTATCCCAAAAATAATTATTTAAAAATAAGTTATAACCCAAACTCATTAGAACCAGTAAAAAGCATTTTCTTTTTTTTAAAGAACAGGGTCTTCCTCTATTGACAAGGCTGAAGTGCAGTGGTACAATCATGGCTCACTGCAGCCTTCAACTCCAGGGCTCAAGTGATCATCCTGCCTCAGCATCCTGAATAGGTGGGACTACAGGCACATGCCACCACATCTTATTTTTTTGTTTTTTTTTTTTTTTGTTTTTGGAGACAAGAGTTTTGCTCATTGCCCATGCTGGAGGAGTGCAATGGCGTAATCTCGGCTCACTGCAACTTCCATCTCCCAGGTTCAAGCGATTCTCCTGACTCAGCCTCCCAAGTAGCTGGGATTACAGGCAACTGCCACCATACCCAGCTAATATTTATATTTTAGTAGAGATGAGTTCACCATGTTGGCCAGACTGGTCTTGAACTCCTGATCTCAGGTGATCTGCCTGCCTCGGCCTCCCAAAGTGCTGGGATTACAGGTGTGAGCCACCATACCGGGCCACATCTGACCAATTTTTTTTTTTTTGGAGACAGAGTTTCGCTCTTGTTGCCCAGGCTGGAGTTCAGGGGTGCGGTCTTGGCTCACTGCAACCTCTGCCTCCCAGATTCAAGTTATTCTCCTGCCTCAGCCTCCGGAGTAGCTGGGACTACAGGCACATGCCACCACACCCGGCTAATTCTTGTATGTTTTGTAGAGATGTGGTTTCACCATATTGGCCAGGCTGGTCTTGAACTCCTGACCTCGTGATCAGCCTACGTTGGCCTCCCAGAGTGTTGGAATTACAGGCGTCAGCCACTGTGCCTGGCTTCAACTGACTAATTTTTAAAAACCTTTTATATAGAGAGACCACCAGTCTCACCATCTTGTTCAGGCTGATCTTGAATTCCTGGGCTCAAGTGATCCTCCCACCTTGACCCCCCAAAGTGCTGAGATTGCAGGTGTAACCCCCTTCATCTAGCCTTTAATTTTTAAAATTCAATTTCATTCATTATCACTTACCCCATTTTCGGTGCGTTTTTCTCCAGGTACATTTATTACATTTCTCTGAGTTCGTTGCTCTTGGGTCTGACGGCCACCTAAAGAAACAAAAGAACCAAATTCACCAAAAGGCATATTAGAAAAATGTAATATTCTCCCATTTCTTCATTTATTCAAATATTTATTGAACACAAATGTAAAACACCAGGCTGAGAAAATCAAGACTTAGTACAGCTGAAAAAAATGGTCTTACCATTATTCTTTTTTATAAAAAGTTGTTTAAGCTGGGCACGGTGGCTCACGCCTGTAATACCACCACTTTGGGAGGCTGAGGTGGGTAGAACACGAGGTCAGGAGTTCGCAGACCAGCCTGGCCAACATGATGAAACCCCATCTCTACTAAAAATTAGCTGGGCATGGTAGCAGGCACCCGTAACCCCAGCTACTCAGGAGTCTGAGGCAGGAGAATCGCTTGAATTCAGGAGGCAGAGGTTGCAGTGAGCTGAGATCATTCCACTGCACTCCAGCCTGGGCGACAGATTGAGACTTTGTCTCAAAANAAAAAAAAAAAAAAAAAAAAAAAAACCAAAAAAGCATTTTTTTCTTTTATTCCATTCATATTACACTTAAAAACTGAAGAAAAATCCTATTACAGAAGTACTGATTCACCTTAAAATATGAATTCTCCAAGATGGTGATATTGCTGCCCACAAGGGACACAAAGTGATTCTTATGGGGTAAAATAAAAAATTACTTTTTATGTATAAAGCAAAATGTATAGTATATAAATGATACATAGGCTATCTGATGGAGGAGGGATGGGGGATGAGTAAAAACATAACTTCCAAAAAGGCTCCTTAAGGGGAACAATAGTAAAAAAAGAGATTATAAAACCTATAGCACCTATCAGTTTATAGGGTAAATTGATCTCTTAGTTATTCTTAGTGTTTTAAGGGAACAAAGTATTCAGATTAATTTAACATTCTTCAATTGCTACCTCTTCCAAACACCAAACTACCAAGAAATTAAAATATTACGAACACACAACATTACCATTATACCAAAAGCCACTTAATCTTCGACGGTAAAAAAGAAACCTGATGATCTTGCATTTCAGTCAGAAAATAAGAATAGACACTTAATGAGCACTTCCCACACACCAAGCTCCCTCTAACCACTTCACAAGTACATACTTGACCCTCACCACACCTCTATGAGGCCCTGTACACCCTGCAGACAAGGAAGTCGAGGCACAAGGAAGTGAAGTCACCTGCCATGGTACCATCCTAAGTAAACAGCAGGTCCAAGACTGCAGCCAGATGGCCTCGATCCTAACTCCATCACATCACCTTCCAAGTTTTAGTTTGTGCTCTGGTTGTAAGCTGGTTGTACGATCTTCATTGAGTTACTTGACCATTCTAAGCTTCTATTTCCCAAAGTGTAGGATGGGGTTGAAAGGTCCTCTACATTCTCCTCCAGCTTCCCACCCTTTTACTTGAGGAAAGTCTTTTACTTCTTATTTCTTATAGTTCTACACACAAAAAACTCAAGCGTAATCCCCTTTAAACAATACCAGTTTGTGACAACTGCCTTGCCCTCAGCAGAAAATTTGAGTCTTGGGCTCTAAACTCTGGCTCCTTAGAATATAAATAAGCTGGAGCAAAGCATAGTGACTCATGCCTGTAATACTGGCACTTTCAGAGGCCAAGGTGGGCAAATCGCTTGAGCTCAGGAGTTCAAGACCAGCCTGGGTAACATGGCAAAGCCCTGTCTCTATCAAAAAACAAAAACAAAACCAACAACAGAATTAGCTAGGCATGATACACGCCTGTAGTCCCAGCTACTTGGGAGGCTGAGGTGGGAGGATTGCTTGAGCCCGCGAGCTGGTGGCTATAGTAAGCTGTGATTGTGCCACTGCCCTCCAGCCCAGGCAAAAGAGAGAGACCCTGTCTCAAACAAAAACAAAAACAAAAAAAAGCTGAAGGGAGAAGTTTAGTAAGCAAAAACAAAACAAAACATGAAACAGCACCCACTGAGCTACTCTCTATGCCACCCTTTTAGGCAGGGGTAAAGGGGCAGAGAGTAGAGCGTTACAGGTGGGAAAGATGGGATTCGGAGTCGGGGCATGAAAGGGAGAATGAATATGCAGCTCCTGGGCTCATGAAATCCTCTCGCCTCAGCCTCCCAAAGTGCTGGGATTACAGGAGTGAGCCATAGTACCCTGCCCATTTCCAAACTTGAAAAAGTAAGAAAAAAATAACCCCTCTCCCCAGGACATTAAGGATTATGTACACATTAACAAGTAAAAGGAAAGACTTTTTATTTAAGTATAGCTAGGTGAGGGAGGGTATAGGTATATGGAGAGCTCAGGTAGAGAGTTAAAATAAGTCCTTAGCACTAAAGCAGCACTTTAACTGTCAGTCTAATCCTCCACTTCAGGGGGATGTTCTCAGAGAGGAAGGACCCTTGTCTAAAGTAAAAGTAGATGAAGAGTTGAGCCCAGAGCCTTGGTGTCCTGGCTCCAGGTGTAACGGTGTATTCTAAAAGACAGCCCTATAACAATATTTATAGCTACAGAAAGATGATTTTAAAATAGACAGTAGCTCATCCAAGGGCAAATTTTCCTTTACTATAAAATGCAAATAAAGGGAGATAACTTGCAATACAGAAATATTATTTTTACAAAGGACTGTCCTTTTATTTGATTTCATTTTTTTAAATATCAGAAGTAATCCATAATCACCGTTAAATAACAAAGGTCTTTTAAATGTACAGTGCATATGTGTTCAGAAAAAAATTTCCTTATTTTCTTTAAATTTTAATTCAAAAACACATAGTATATTCCCATGGTTCAAAAATCAAAAGGAACAAAAAAGTATACAATTAACAACCCTCCCTCTCCTCTGTTCTACAGCCACTTTTCCCTTCCCTCAGGCCAGCAACAACCCCAGTTTCTTAGGTATCTTTCAAAACTGCTTTATACATATACACACACAAGCAGGCACACATGCACACAGCTCTTTGATCATCTTTCCACAAAAGGCAGCTCAGTGTGCACACTCTTTTGCACCAAGCTTAATTCATTTAACGTGTTCAGGAGATGGTCTGGGTAAGGGCACAGAGGTTCTTTGTGATTTATGGCTGCAGAGCATTCTGCTGTGTGGACGGACCCTAATTTATCTAGCTCAACTCTCCTGGTGCGCATTTAGGTTGTTTCTACCAGCAATGCTCAGTGAATAACCCTGTGCATCTATCATTTTGTGTGTGTCAGGGCACAGCTTTAGGATAAATTCTCAGAAACGAAACTGCTGGGTTAAAGGTTTTATGTTTTGTAAGGTTAACAGCTACTGCCAAGTTTCCGTCTCCAGAAGATGCCAACTGCCTCCCACAGCAATGCAGAAGACTGTCTGTTTCTCAGCATCTTTGTCAATGCTGTGCTATTAGCTGTTCTAATCTTTGCCAATGTGACAGGTAAAATATACTATTTCAAGACAGTTTTCTCTGCACATCTTTTACTAGAAATAAGGTGAGTATCTTTTCATATATCCTAGGGCCATGTATATTTTCTTTTCAGTGAACTATATTTGCATGTTTTTCCTATTATTCTACTAAGTTTTTTCTTACCAAATTTTAGGAACTCTTTACATGTAAAGGGAATTAGCCCTCTGCAATGTGAGCTATAAATGCTATTTACCAGTTTATAATTTATCTTTTGACTTTTTTTAGATGGTTATTGCCATGCAGTTATTTCTGGTTTTGTTTTTGTTGCCCAGGCTGGAAAGCAGTGGCGTGATCTTGGCTCACTGCAACCTCCGCCTCCCAGGTTCAAGTGATTCTTCTGCCTCAGCCTCCAGAGTAGCTGGGATTATAGGTGAGCACCACTATATTGGCTAATTTTTAATAGAGATGGGGTTTCACCATGTTGGCCAGGCTGGTCACCAACTCCTGACCTCAAGTGATCTGCCCGGTTCGGCAGATACTGGGATTACAGGCGTGAGTCACCACGCCCAGTCTATTTTTATTTTTGAGACAGGGTCTCTCTCTGCCTCTTTCTGTCCTGGCTGGATGGAATACAGTGGCATGATCATGGCTCACACTACAGCCTTCACCTCCTGGGCTCAACTGTCCTCTCACCTCAGCCTCCCAAGTAGCTGGGACTACAGGCATACACGAACACAACCGGCTAATATTTATATTTTCTGTAGAGATAGAGTTTTGCTATTGCTTCCCAGGATGGTATTGAACTACTGGGCTCAAGTAATATACTTGCCTCAGCCTTTCAAAGTGCTGAAATTACAGTCCTGAGCCACTGTGTCCAGCCATTGTTTTAAATAATTCATTTATCAGTCTTGTCTTTTATGGTTTAGTGTCACACTTCCAAAGGCCTTGCTCACTTTAAAAAATAAGATCTCCCAGAACTTTTTTCTAATCCTTTCATGGTTTTATATGTTTTTAAAATCTAGATGTTTGACCTATCTGGTATTTACCAAAAGCAATCCCTTTAAATACCAAGTCCCTTTATATGTCTAGGTACACTGTTTACTTTTTTTTTTTTTGAGACACAGTCTTACTGTTTCACCAGGCTGGAGTGCAGTGGCAGGATCTCAGCTCACTGCAACCTCTGTCTCCCAGATTCAAGCGACTACAGGCATGCACCACCACGCCCGGCTAACTTTTTGTATTTTAGTAGAGATGGGGTTTCACCATGGCCAGGATGGTCTTAATGTTCTGACCTCATGATCCGCCTGTCTCAGCCCTGCAAAGTGCTGGGATTACAGGCATGAGCCACTGTGCCTGGCCTAAGTACACTGTTTAATTAACTTAGAGTCCTGAGAAGGAAGGAACGGTTGGTGCCTAACAAGTGTAATGCAATTGGCTGGGCACAGTGGCTCACACCTACAATCCTAGCACTTTAGGAGGCTGAGGCAGGCAGATCACTTGAGGCCAGGAGTTCAAGACCAGCCTGACCAACATGGTGAAACCCCATCTCTATTAAAAATACAAAAATTATATGGGCATGGTGGCAGGCACCTGTAATTCCAGCTACTTGAGAGGCTGAGGCAGGAGAATCCCTTGAACCCAGAAGGTAGAGGGTGCAGTGAGCCAAGACTGCACCACTGCACTCCAGCCTGGGTAACTGAGTGAAACTCCATCTCAAAAAAAAAAAGAGAGTGACATAATGGTAAACAACACTAACAGAAGCCAAAGAAACATGAGATACCAACTTTCCCTCTAGCCACTTGCAAGTGCGGGGGTGGGGGTGGGAGTGTGAATAATGTAATATTTATTCCTATTTTTCTTAAATTAACTTTTCTAGCAAAAATTAACAAATGAGGAAGAAAGCATTTATCTACCTTGTTCACTGCTTTCAGCTGGGGAGTCCTCATGTCGAAGGAAAAATTTCACTTCTTCCCTCCGTGGCCCCCATTTCTGAAGATGTTCATACATCATATGATCAAAGGGTATGGGACGTTCTAGGAAAAAGACATCTTTTTTACTCCAGAATTAAAATGGCTCCAAACAAAAGTAAATTTTTTAAAAAATTTAAATGAATGTATATATGCACACATATATGTCTACATGTTAGAATTCAAAGATATTACAAGCACTGAATTTCAACATTAATGAGTAAAAGCAAGGATATGAATGGGAAATAATTTAGGCAACAAACACAAAAAGTATCTATGAAGGCAATCTTGCAACATTAAATAGGGAACACTGAAACACGCCCTTTAAAGAACTCATTTATCACAAAACATCGTGTCTCCCATTCATTTTTCTGTTTGTTTGTTTTGAGACGGGGTTTCGCTCTTGCTGCCCAGGCTACTGTGCAATGGCACGATTTTGGCTCACTGCAACCTCTGGGTCCCGGGTTCAAGCGATTCTCCTGCCTCAGCCTCCCAAGTAGCTGGGATTACAGGCAGGCACCACCACGCCCAGCTAATTTTTTGTATTTAGTAAAGATGGAGTTCTATCATGTCAGGCTGGTCTCGACCTCCTGACCTCAGGTTATCCACCAGCCTCAACCTCAACCCCACAAAGTGCTAGGATTATAGGCGTGTGCCACCTCGCTGGGCCTTTTTTTTTTTTAAGACCGAGTTTCGCTCTTATCACTCAGGCTGGAATGCAGTGGCGCTGGATCTCCTCACTGCAACCTTTGCCTCCCGGGTTCAAGTGATTCTCCTGCCTCGGCCTCCTGAATAGCTGGAATTACAGGTGTGCACCGCCATGCTCAGCTAACTTTTGTATTTTTAGTAGAGACAGGGTTTCACCATGTTTGTCAGGCTGGTCTCGAACTCCTGACTTCAAGATCCCCCTGCCTCGGCCTTCCAAAGTGCTGGAATTACAGGCATGAGCCACCTTGCCCAGCCCTTACTCATCTTAATTTATCCTCTAACCTTTATTTTCTGTTTTACATGTGTATATTATCATTTAAAAATAATTGTTTTATTTTGGAATAATTTTAGATTTACAGAAAAGTTACCAACAAAGAGTTCCTGTATATCCTTCATCCACTTTCCCCTAATGCAAACATCTTACATAGCTATGGCATACTGTATATACCTCATCCTTGAACACAGGTCTGAACTGAATAGGTCCACTCACAAATGAATTTTCTTCCACCTCTGACACCTGAGACAGCATGACTGACCTTCTTCCTCCTCCTTCAGCCTACTCAACATAAAGATGAGCAGTGGCTCACGCCTATAATCCCAGCGCTTTGGAAAGCCTAGGTGGGTGGATCACTTGAGGCCAGGAGTTTGAGACCAGCCTGGCCAACATGGCAAAACCCCATTTCTACTAACAATACAAAAAATTAGCTGGGCATGGTGATGCGTACCTGTAATCCCAACTACTTGGGAGGCTGAGGCAGGAGAATCGCTTGAACCTGGGAGGCAGAGGTTGCAGTGAGCTGAGATTGTACCACTGTACGCTGGCGACAGAGCACAACTCTGTCTCACAAAAAATCAAAACAAAACAAAAAACCACGAAGGATGAAGACCTTTTTAATGAGCCACTTCCACTTAATAAATTGTAAACATATGTTCATTTCCTTGTGACTTTCTTAATAACATTTTTTCTCTAGCTTATTTTATTGTAATAATACAATATATAATACATATGACATATAAAATGTGTTAATTGGCTATTTATGTTATCAGTAAAGCTTCTGGTCAACAAAAGGCTACTAGTAGTTAAGTTTTGGAAGAACCAAAAGTTATACTCATTTTTCAACTGTGCAGGAGGTCAGTGCCCCCAATCTCCATGTTGTTCAAAGTTCAACTGTACTTAATAAATAAACCTTGTTAATAGTGTTGCTCAAATCTTCCCTAATCTTATTGTGACTGTTAGATCTATTAAGGTCTAATAGATATATGCCTACAATTCTCCCATTTTGATTTTAGATTTGCCAAATTCATCCTCATAATTTTATAAATTTTGACTTTATATTTTTCAGTTTACATTGTTAAATGTACATCTACTTACGAATGTTTAAGCTTCTCGATATATCACCGCTTTTATTATGTCCATCTTTATCCTAACAGTTTAACCTTAAATTTTATTTTGCCTGACATTAACGTTGCCGGAAAAGCTTTCTTTTCACCTTTCCCTTCATGTCAACATTTCTGATGGTATTATGCTTGTATGTCTCTTC